CACATGTCCTACAATACCTTTTAGGTAGCCTTGTAAATTATGGTGATGAAACACTAGACAAACGCTGTAGGATTTCATTAAGCCGTTTAATAAATGGCTCTCATTAAAACACCAGTTCCCTTGTCCTTGTCTATGAGGACTATGACTCTTACAAATGCCCACGTATACATTTCCATATTATCTCTTTAGAGGATTCAGAACTATTTTCTTACACCTAACACAGCTTTTATTCCATTTAGAATAATTACTCTCCATCCCATTTCTGACTTTCAAGAAAAACAAGACTCTTAATTGACCACAGGAGGACTCTCTCAAGGGCATCAGCCTGCAAAGGCTGTGCTGTGAGCTCACAACCTAAGCTGATGTAATCTGCTACAAGAAGCTGACTTCTATTTTTAAATTATACCCTTTCACTCTGCCTTCAAAGGGCACATATATCACTTGTTGTAACTTTGCTCGTAAACTACCTCGTGGTCGTGGAGTGAATCATGCTGTCAGGGGGAGCTCCCAACTACCCTCAGCCGCCCAGCCCTGCTCATTTAAATTCACCCACCATTTCTATAATTTGGTCTTGAGGAGAGCAGCCACATGTGAACACACTGTCCAGATACCTTGTTCTTCATGGTCATGTGGACAAGGGATAGATGACTAGCAGGATCCTTCAGGAAGGCTGGGATGAAGCATGGCTGCCTTTTTGTATTTCTGTCCCATGGCACAGACTCCTAGTAAATGCTACTCATGTTGATGCTGAGAACTCTGTCATCAGGCCTATGTGCTTTGAAGGGTGCCAGAATGAAAACATATTTGTTCTGTTTAATTTTAAGTTTTTCATTCACCATTTCAGTCAGGTGCACAGTGTGCTGCTGAAAAGGTCCTTAGCATTCTGAAAACACTATAAAAAAGGACTTACTTGGAGGTGAAAATACACTTGAACTTGCTGTTTATTTGCACTTCTTCTGTTTATGTCTAAAAATAAGGAAGAGCTCTGTAATTAAAGCAGGGCTACCATGGAGTCTGGTGGCAGTCAGGACAGTACATTCTTCCTGGCTCTTCTCTTCCTGTCATGGTTACCTCAGGTCTCCTCCGGGTTTGGTCCTCCCAGTGGTTCTCCCCACCTTGAGGCGTGGGCCCTTTGAATCCCTCCTCCACATTAAAGTCTGAGAGAGATACTCAGAACGTAAAGAGGATCCTGTCCCTCCTTTTCTCAATACCCTTTGGTTTCCCTCTGGCCCTCAGACATATCCCTCTGCTGTGACTCTGTTTCCTTTAGGCAACCAATAAAACACCCTAACCCCAACCCCACACCCAGCTTGACTCCTGTGCGCTGGTTCTCAGTGTACCTCTGTGTTCACCCCAAGGCCTTTGTCTAGGATGCTTGCTCAGCTTGGAACTCTGCACTCAATCCCGGTCCCACACACGCTTACCAGCTCTTCCAACTCATCATTCAGGTCTATTTTGCATGACTCTTCCTCCAGGAAGCTCCTCCCAGGTGTTCCTGGGGCATCACGCGCCCCCTCAGACAACTATGCACTGCATCGTGAGTAGTGACATTGTGCTTATTTGCTCTGTCCCCAAATGACAACAGGAGACAGGATGGCAACAATCACATTTGCTTCTTCACTATTGCATTTCTCTGGATTCCACTTGGCACGTGGCTGTGCTTCAGTACCATTTGTTGAATGAATGAATAAATGTGTACTAACTGTTCCAAAAATGGGGCCCCCATTCATGCAGCATAAAGCAGGGTAGTTTCTCTTCCTGAAAGTGTAAGCTCAAAGAACAAAATACTGCTTTAACTCTGGAGTCATTAATTGAAGCACGAAGGCAGCAGCTGGCCTCGAGGAGACTGAAATTCCCCCCTCCCACAGTGACGCCAGAGGAGTCACCAACAGCAGGGTCTCTCTCCGGGAGACTCAGAAACACAGTTAGGTAACACATTCTTGGAAGATAAATGGAGGCTCTGTTTCAAATGGAGTCCCACTGGGACAAAGCACTGAGACTTGCTTTAAGTTAAATATCACATGGGAAATTGCAAGTGAACAGAAAACTCCACGATTTAAATTTATTCCAAAGAAGGCAGCAAACTGAAAATTAATAATGTTTCTTCTTACCTGCAAAACCACATTCAATTTTTAAAACATTCTGAAATCAGCTGGACATGGTAAGAATGTCACTAGAGGCCTGAAAAAACATGGGTCTCATAGAGACATGGTTTTAAAACTCCATGTGTGAAATCTTGCCATTCATTATATGAGTATTAATTTAGGGCCAGACACTGGACTGGCCCTGAGATTGTGAGTGTAAAGAGAACTGTCCTTGTGGGGAGTCCAGCCTAATCAAATAAAAAATATACACTTGAAGATAGACCTTTGTTGTTTTGTTTTTTTTTTTTTTTTTTTTTTTTTTTGCCATAGAGCACATGTGCTCACTGGAGATAGAAAGAGGAATGGAAAGTGAGAAATCATCCCCAAAGGGGATAGCCACACTGCAGTCCCTTCTCCTCCATTCTCCTTTCAGGATTTTGGGCATGTAGGCACATACACATGCCTGGCATGATTTTCAAGGTGCTGGGCCTGGGACTTGAAGCGTGATCAGCCACATGGAAGTTCAGTGCCTTAACCATTACGCCACTTGCTGGTCTTGAAGACAGACTTCTCTAATAAAACATTTTTTCTCTAAATTCTAAGCACTGTATGTTCAGTTATTAGATTAAACCCAGCACACATGGGATTAGAGAGTAAGGCAGAGCTTCAGCAACTTCTGCATGGCTAAGGATTATTATTACTATTATTTTACGAGGTTTTTGCTATAGGGTGTCTGTTCTCACCAGGGAGAGAGAGAGAGAGACAGAGACTGTGAGAGGGAAAGTGAGAAATCGCCTGCCAGGGGGAGATGATCACACCTCAATCCCTTCTCTTCCATTCTCTTCCTGGGATCTTGGGCACGCACATACACAAGCCCAGTGGGATTTTCAAGCCACCAGGTCCGAGACTTGAACTGTGGTCAACCATGTGGTAGTCCAGCACATAATCACTATGCCATCTGCTGACCTCAAGGATCATTTAAAAACAAACAAACAAACAAATCATAGTTTTGAAAAATCAACAGACTGATGACAGTGAAGAGTGGGTAATGTTTCAACATCCAAACCAAATGATGAAGTGCTTGTTTTTTATTTCATTCTTACACAGTTAGTAAGCATCCCCTCAAACGAAACCCAATAAACACAATTTCACATGAAATTCTTCTGCCTTCTAGCATGATCTTGTTTATTTTTATCACCAGGCATATAGAAGTTGCTCAATTAATGTTAATTGAATAAATAAATCACAGGTGACATACTGCTATGAAAATGCTTTCATAATTTTAGGTATATTCAAATTTTTTTCCTCTTCATAGGGAAAAAAATTAACTATGCATATTTTCTAGGATTCTGACTTTCATTTCCTTGTCTGACCTTGGGCTAGTTATCTAACATGGTTTATCATTTTCCTCATCTATGAAATAATGTCTTGGTTATTGTGAAGTGTGTAAAGGAAGTAGCCAATATAACCATGCACTACAGACAATGTTTCTTCTTCCTTCTTTCTTTTTTTAATCTCTCTGTTTTATTATTTTCATCGCCCAAATAAAGTGCTTCATCACTCAAATAAAGATAAACCAAATGACTGGCCTAATTAGAAAGTCAGAGAATTTTAAAAGTAGCCTGGGCACAATAGCTTTTGGCTCTCAATCCTTGAAAATTTTTACTGTTTTGGGACTTGGATTTTCCCTTTCATAAAATGAGTGAGTTTTATTATATCATCTACCAGAGACTACTCAGTCCCTATTTTTCATGGCTTCGAGGCCTGCCTTACTGAGACGCTAGAAGCTGCTAACATGGGTAAGACATCTGTTTCAGAAATAAACTAGGCCCTGAAAATCTCTTCAAAAAGAGGGCTTCTATTAATAAATTACAAACCAAGAGAAAACTCGACTTTTAAAGGAATTTGTATCAATCTAATATCCAGGTCAAGAATTGGTGACGGCACTCTTAACTATGGTGTCTCTGCTGCACACAGCTAAACTTCAACACACAGCAAGGCTTCCCACTCACAGCTCTGAAATAACGTACTTGCAAAGAAATCTAGGGGTTTTAAGCAATATCATTAATTATAAATGGATCGTTTGAAATGAGTAAGCCAGGTGACAAGCCTAACATTTGGCAAGTATTTTTCCTTGACATCCTCAACTATTTCCATCCCGTTGACCAAACAAAGAAGTACAAATATTGTACACACACACAGAAAAAAGAATGTTCTAAATCATCATAAAAATTCAGTGTAGGCCTGCCATCTAGTGGTAGGATATATCTTTGTATTGTTAAAAAAAAAATGTTCGAACAGCTAAATTATCTTGACACAAGATCATTTTAAAAACCAAGATTGTTCCTTGGCTTCTCAGCAGTTACTGCAGGGAAATTTAAGAGCATATCAATCTCCTTGTCTACCCGTTGTCTTCAGAGAAATTTTTTGAAGACGGCTTGAGCAGAGTCACCGCCACAGTAGTTAATCCTATACCACCACCCAACTGTTTCTGAGCAAGTCATAAAACAAAGGAGCATTATTATTCTATTAATTTTAATACGCATTAGCAATTTAAAAAGATTTTCCCAGTAATCTGTTCTTACCTTCTAGACTCATCTGATCTAATCCTGATTTTTAGTTATGCATGAAAAGGCATTTAAAAGTGACAACCTTACAAAAAGTGCACATTATATGAAAATCTGACTTCAATTAAAACCAGTTACAAAATCCCAGCAATTTCCAGCTGTCTTTTCTCTCTTATCCTTAGAGGATTATATATCACATTAATTGGTATTCTGTCACATAAAAAGACACCAGCGATGATTAATTGCATCCTTGGTGCTTTTGAGTTATGTCCTCACCAGAGGGATTCAAATCACACCTCATTACCTTCCAGCAGGTACCCTATTTGGTAACCCTCATAAAACCTCCTACCTTCCTAAACTTCTCCATTTGCTTGTAAAGGTCTGGATCAAGCTCCTGAGACACGTCCTTCATCCATAATAATGCCCCTCTGTATTCTGTCCGGCACTGCTCCATGCGGTTCACCGTCAGCCAAGTATCTGAGATGGCCCGATGCCGAAAAGTCTCCACCTCTTGGTGAAATCGACACAAAGGGTTTCTCAAAGCCAACCTAGACAAGAGGATAAAGCCACAGTCTTGCAACTGAGCCAGCCAGTGATTTGAACCCATGACATTTTGCCAATCTGAAATTCATGAGCCCAGAACAGTGCCTGGAACATAGAAGACACTCTCACAATATTTGATTAATTGAAATGCATGCGAACTGATGAACCATCCAGAAATAATTACCCATGTAGCAATGCTTTAGTTTACTACTACTAAACTGGACCATTGAGAAGTACCTCTAATAGTTGTGTTAGAGTGATGTCAAGCTGGGGCAAAGAGTGTCCAGTGGAAGCTGGAAATAATCTTGTGTTCATAAAAAGTGGTCAAGGCATGACTGTTTCCTATGTCTCTTGATCACTCTCTGCCTCCTGCTCCTCTGGAAATGGATCCATCAGGGGAGACTGGAGTGGGTGTGATTAGGGTCTCTCTGGCTAGATCATTCTGGATTATTCTCCAAAGGCCAAGGCATCTATTGCTTGCTCAAATAGTCACAGAGGAATAAAGCTGAAACAACAAGCATTTTTAAGTGGTCTAAGAGGGGATAACTACATTGTCTAAGGATATATTACACTGGGTTTGTGGGAAAGTCATGACGCATTTCTGCATAGAAAAACAGAAAACGGGTCACGAGTTTCTAGACAACCTAATATGTTAGCACTTTCAGAAAGATTATGTGATTTAATCCTTTTTTTTTTTATAAAATACAAGACTTAAGGATACTACACCAGAAATGACTGTGATAACATAGGTGTAAAACTATTATAATCTTGGCCCTAACACACAGCCCTTTATTCAGAAGAAAAATTTAAGGCACATCAAATATTAGATTAAATATTTATTTGCTAGGAGGGAAATGTTGCTTCTTTTATCTTCCTACTCAAAATGAGCAATGTCAGATGTATGACTACACTGCCTATTCCTCTCCATGAAGTTTTGGGCACAGGTGCAAAAAATAAAAATAAGATGACTATTTAAATTTCAATTTAAATACGAACTTATTTGGCTGAAGGGAACAATGGCATCAGTGAGCTGAAGTCAGCTTTGGGCAGTTCGATCACTGTCCGAGACACCTTACCTATGTGTACTACGGGATTATAAATGGTGCAATAAACTTTTGAAGCAAAAAAGTCTCTTTTATTATTTTTCCTTATTTTCCTCTTGTCTGTAAATGTTGCTTTTAAATACTGAACACTTCTTTAAAAAGATTATAGCCCGCCCTCACTGTCCTACCTGATGCTGCAGGTCTTTTCAAAGATATATTGTTGCATCATAAAGGAAGGTGCTGTTTTATCCCTGTCGGCTTAAATTTAATACTCACCTTTTATCAAGTAGAAAGAGCAGTTGAAACAGTGACTATCAAATAAGTCAATAAAACAAACATGGATGTGAAGGCTTGTATAATTGAAGGCTTCTATTTAAGGAGATACAGTCAGCTGGTTCCCTAAGGGTCATGTTCTTTTCTAGACTCTTTTTTTATTTTCTTTCTCTGGGTTCTGCAAATTTCCTTAACCTGACCGAAAGTAGTCTCATGTATAAATTAATCTCAATTTCTTTGACTGTTGTAAACTTGGGCAGAAATCTTATAAGATGCAATAGCATAATAATCGAGGAAAAAGCATAAAAAGTCATCTCATCCTTTTCTGTCACTTGCATAATATAAAATCAGAGAGGTAAAAATTCTATTCATTTGTGACATGAGGGATAGAGTCTAGGACAAGGAAAAACTCAGTAACCAAACACATCAAGCTTCAATGGAGGACTAGTCCGTTTCTAGTTATAAAAATCTACCCAATAGATAATAATAAAGTGTTTAAAATGCTAATTTTAGGGTGTCTATCCTTTAGTAGGAAAAGTGGAAATGATCCAAGAAATGAACAGAAGAGCTTGCGTTAAATGTATCACTGCATGCCTAGATAATGGAATATTATGCTTTGGATGTTTTTAGACATATATATGTGGTCAGGCCACCCTTATAGCCAGTTGAAGGAACTGGATACCACCTGGTCAACCCCAGTTCAAATCTTAGCCCCAGCAGCTTAAAAAATATGCCAGGCACATGTGCCTGAGTGCCTCAAGTCCCAACAGGATACAGAGTGAAGAAGAGAATTGTGGTGTGACCATGCCTCACTGATAGTACACAAAAGTTGTGTGATATGATGCTGTTTATATTAAAATACATTCTAGCATGACCTAATTCCACTCATGACAGTTTCGTGTAATCCTCCTCTTTTCTTCATGGTTAGAAGGATTGGTTGGGATTTTATGTGCCTGAGTAGCAGGTGGTAAAACCAGAGTCACATGCAGGAGGCCACCTTCCAGATTGCAAAGTTGGTCCCTTGACATTAAATTATGAATACAGAACAGTTTGCTAATACATAGTAGTGATAGTTTCAAGTATCGTTTGTATTATTTTTACTGCTTTTGTTTGTATCCAAAGGTTATAATACTTAAGCCTAAATTACTACATGTGTGTTTTGTGAAATCATTTGGTATATAACTGTGAGATGGAAAACCTATATAAACATATTATAGAACAATTAATAATGTAATCAATAGGAACCAGCAGGTGGCATCGTGGTCCCACATGGCCAACTACAATTCAAGTCGCAGACCTGAAGGCTTGAAAATCACGCTAGGCACATGTGTATGCACACCCCAAATCCCGAGAGGAAAATGGAGGAGAGGAGATGGGATTGCGGTGTGGCCACACCCTGGAGGGGAGTGATTTCTCACTTTCCCTCTCACTGTCTCTCTCTGTCTCTCTCTGATTAGTGCAGGTGCCCTGTAGTGAAAACATAAAATAATAAGAAGAAATAATAAAACCAATAATAATAATTATTATTATAACAATAATACTTCAGCAACTGTGTCCGGGATTTGGCTTTATTTTTCGTATGTGGATGTTAATTTTGGTATATAAGTATGAATTAGAATTATTCTCCTTGACATTAACTTTACTCAATGATAACTTTTCGGGTACCAAAAGTACTTGTAAGGTTGGAGAGGGCCATGTATGTATATAACGTGTCTATTAATGGGTTAAAAAGTGGGTTATCCCTATTAGTAAAGCTTTATTTGCTTTCTAATATTTTCCTTTTGGTCTGTCTCTGTTTTTAAATTTTTCTAGAATGGTTATTAGTTTTACAAGAAAAATAATTGCAAATAAGATTCAAATGTACAGCTTAAGATAATAAATAAACACTTTTCTTAAATGGTATAGAGAACTGTTGGAAATTATGAAATTATGAAAGGTGGCACTGCTCCCAATATCAGGGTCTAAACATTATTAGGAAGAATTGGGGCCGGAAGGTGGCTTGGTGGTTAGAGGCACTGGATTCCCATATGGCCGACCACAGTTCGAGCCCCAGACCTGGTGGCTTGCTTTCTCACTTTCTTCTCTCATGTGTGCTCTCTCACTTTGTCCCTCTCTGGTCTAATAAAATAAATAAATAAATAAATAAATAAAGCTAGATAAAATCATTAAAAAAGAGAAAGAATCAACCAGGGGTGGGACCACTGAAGAATTGACAAAGCTGGTGATTTTCTTCTACTATACCCTTCCTGGTTTTTTATAGGGATATGTGTCACATGCCAATGGCCTGCTCTTGACCCACAGAAAGGGAAGGCAATAAGGAGAAATTAATAGAAGAAAATGTTACAGTTTGAGTAACTAAAATTTCTGCAGCCTGAATATTTTTGGGAACTTCCTACAAGCCTTATTTAGACATAATTCTGCCTAACATGAGTAGGTGACATTTAGGGGGGCTTGTGAGTTCCTGGGGAAGGAGGAAGAGAGAAGGAACATCACTTTTTCAGGCCCAGGAGCAATTGTGTGCAGGGGCTCTTGCTTATTTAACATTGATGGTTGTGTTAACAAAAATGCCACTGATTTGCCACTTTTTTCTCTGTGTGAGAGCATCTTAAATTCTGTGGAAATGCAGGCCTTGGGTAGGGCCTAGATTCTGCATTTCTAACAAGCTCCCAGGTGATGCCGCGGCTCCTGGTCCAGGGTTTGAGCAGTGCGGTCCAGGGCATCCTGATCCAACCCCTCTCTGAAGTTAATGGGCCCATAGGGAGCAGTGAGGAACCCTTCAAGCTGGTCTCATTAGGCTCCTGTTTTAATCAGCAGCTGGGAGAGGACCAGACTGATTGTCATAAGCAAGAATAAGGTCAAACATAAGCCTAGGACAGCATTCATAGTGATTGGTGTATAAATAATGCATCCTGTCGACCACAAGAAATATGGGAAAACATTTAAATTGCTGGGGAGAAAGAAAAATCCTGTGGTATTAATCAGAGTTAAGCACCAACTGATTAAAAAGTGAGTACAGAATAACTTCTCAGTCCCAGGCAAAAGCTTCTAAAGAACACTGTGAGATTCTCTTTTATGAGTAGGTGGGTCACAGATTCTCTGCGGAGCCCCCAAATAGATCCCCCATGAAGGCCACACACCTTTGCTGGGACGAAAAGCAGAGAGCCTTTCCTGTTGCTTGCATCATTTTTCCTGCTCTGGTTTTATCTTGGAAGCCTTGGGATCGGAGAAATTTTCCCAGTTCATTTTCTTCTTGGGATAAGACTGATGAAGAAAAGACCAAAAGGAGTCGTGAACAATGAGCATTTTTATTACAAAGGGAACCGAGAAAGACAAATCACAAGGTCCTCTCTCTCCCAGAGGCAAAGACAGATGAAATTAAATGCAAGTGGCACTGGCAGGCTGTAGGTAAGTGCTCCCTCCCCCACCCAGCCATTAACTTTCTCGCTGTTCCTCCATTTACAATACGAGAGAGATCACATTCACTTGAATACATCTGTCAGTGAGTTTGGAGCCCTGTAATCAGAACCAGAAAATGACCTCTGCAGTGAAAAGCGAGTCCATAATGTGCTGCTTCGAGCTGAAATAAAGGAGTTGGGCTTGTCAAGTAGGACTGTGGGAATCTTTTGTGGCTGCCTGCAATGCAGTGCTTGCAGCCTCCTATTCTTCTCTCCTGCTGACTTTTTGATCTCTGCTTTCCAAGTTGCCTTCGGCTCTATTGCAAAGCAATTCAAATGCTTCACCCATGACACAGGTTTCTTGTTGGGGGGGGTGGGAACTGGGGGTGGGGCAGGTCATCAGGTTGATGATTTTGTGACTTTTTATAAAACAGCCAAATCTGAATGGAATATGTCTGATCTTGGCCTTATTTTTAAAGACAACTTCAGATGGCACTATTGGTGAGAAAGTGATTTGTACAAGCTTTCTAGTGATTGCTATGGCAATAAGTAAAGTCCCAGAGTTGCATGTAGGACAACATTTGAAGCTGCACTTCTGCTGTTAGGAGCGTATTGGAAGCAAGCAGCAAATGAGTACAAAGGTGCACATGCAAAAATAATCATAGCATCATTACTTATTATTGCAAAACTCTCCCTTTTCCTATACTAGAGACTGACTTAATAAAATACAGTGTAGGACCAGCAGATGGCGCAATGGTTACATTGCTAGACTCCCACATAGTTGACCATGGTTCAGATCCTAGATTCAGAGGCTTAAAACTCACACCAGACGTGTGTGTGTGTGTGTGTGTGTGTGTGTGTGTGTGCGCCAAAAATCCTGAGAGGAGAATGAAAGAGAAGGCATGGCAGTGTGGCCATCCCCCTGGGAGGGTGATTTCTAGCTTTCTGTCTTTCTGACTCTCTGGTGAGCACACGTGCCCATAGGAAAAATCTCTAAAATAAATAAATAAAATAGAGTACATCCACAGAATGGAGCAAGAGGATCCCAAACACACATGAACAGCTGAGCCACAGACACAAGAGTGGCACTTAGCTTCCCAGAATGCTTTTCTTCTCTAAACACAGCATTGACTCACGACATACTTGGAGCACCACTTGCATTTCTCATTTCTGTATTGATACATATCCATATCATGTGTCTTAAACTACTTTAATGCTGTTGGGATTCTTGTCCTTTTTCATGAACCATTTAGACTTTTTAGAGAACACATCCCATTTCTGATAAAGTTTCTCCAACGACAGCTGTGGATCATTGGTCAGGAACCACAAATCTAATGGTAAAATCTAAACTTGGTCCTGCTTTCTTGTGCATTTGTGACTATAACTCACTCTAAATAGCCTCTCAGGAGGGCCCAGTTGAATAAAAGCTTTTAGAATGTATTTTTCCTAAGGGATAAATGACAACCCTCCTTCTTCGTCTCTCTCTCAAAAATCAAGTTCACAGGTCAAAGCCCAGATCAAATGCTACTAGCTCTGTGTAGTAGCTGGAGCTGGTCCCTCCTCTGGAAAGTAGCACCCCCAGACATCTGCCTTAGCACTAGCCTACTAACCTCGGAGGGCTGGTGTTAGGATGTGGGGCTGGATCGTGCCTGTCTTGGAACATTGGTCAGGAACCACAAATCTGATCTTTATGAGACTCTAAGCTTTCAAAGACAGGAACTTCATTCAAACTTTTTATTCCCCAGGCTGGACATTCATGGCACTAAATGTGGTGGAACTGAACTAAGTAGTATCATTTTTGCTTTGCTATCCCTGTATGCTTTATTTTACTTTAAACACTTATTTGATATTTATGCCATGGTTCTATGTACCTTAAAAAAGTTCCATAATTGGGCTGGCCAGTGGTTTAGTGGCTAAGACAGCTGGATCTCACGTGACTGACTGCGAGGTTCAGCCCTGACTCTGGTGGCTTGGAAAATATATAGGGTGTGTGTATGTCCAAGGGTGGCCAAAATCCCAAAAGAAGAAATGGAGGAGAAAGAATTGCAGCATGGCCATTCCCCATTGGGGATCCCTTCTTACTTTCTCTCTCTTTCTAGCAAGTATACACACCTAAAACAAAAAAATCTGTTACTCTAAAAAGTCTTTTGGTTTTTAATATCTTCCATTCCTTTTCCTTTCCACTGACTAATATGTGACCCACTCCATTCCACTATGGAGAGAAATTTCCCTTTTTTTTTTTCATAATAGTAGGAGGCTACGGTCACCTTTTTTACCTTAAAGCTTCAAGTTACTTACAAATGAATGCATTGAGCTCAAGGCTAATAAGAAACCAATTCATGGTACATGAATGGTGGCATAGTTGGTGAAATGTACCCTTTTCTAAATAAACCTAAGTAGACTGACGCTGGCTATGACTAAAAAAATAATTTAAGTATTGACTAATTAACTGACAATGCTACTCAGGCGGCTATGGAAAGAAAGTGAACTCTACTTGAGCTTGCATTTTCAAAGAAGTATGGGTCATTTCTTAATTTGAAACATTCAACCATTGAAATCAATTTATAGAAGTATAAAATTTAGGTGCAACCTAAGTGTCCGATAGCTTTTATTTGTAAGTTTTTATTTATAAGGTTTTACTTAACTGGGACTTAAGAACTCAGAGACAAATAAAAACCTATTAAATAGAATTGTTGCTAATTAGATTTTTCAGATGTGCCCCTCTCCACCAAAAAACAACGACGACGGCAACGACAAAAAACTAGGGCCAGCCTGTGGTGGAACTCGGGTTCAACCGCATAATTTGATCTGGACCTGGTAGCTTGGGAAACAAATGGCTGTTGTGCCCAGAATCCTGTAGGGAGGGAGAAATGGAGAGGGGATTGGGCTTGACCAGGCCCCATCTGGGGTGCTTTCTGGCTTTCCCTCTCTGTGTCTCTGGCAAGCACACACTCCCTCTGGCGAAATTTAAAAAGGAGAAATAAGGTGGGGGGCAGGGAGGAGCAACTAAGGAACCACCAAACCAATCAGCTTGAGAGCCTTAACTCATTCAGTACAGATTTATAGGTGATCCGATATATAATAGGCACTGTTTTAGCACTGGGAATCCCATGTTCTACCGCAAAGGAGAAAATGATTTATTTCATGGTGGTTATCAGGGGCACACTGGGTATGGTAAAAGGAAATTTGACCAATAATTCTCCAAATACAGGATGTAAGCAAAGAAATGATCTGACTGGGTTCGAAAACACATTCTGATTGCAGAGTAGGCAACAGGCTGGAGAAGGAAGGCAGAAATGGAGACAACATCAGTTAGGAAGCTGATTTGGCAAACTAAGTGAGAATAATGGTGACAGCCTTTACTAAAGTAGTGAAAGAGAAGGTGGAAGAAGAATTTGGAATCTCATTAGAGACAAAACAAAGCAACTGAGACGGACTAGCTGTGATACAGAGAAATAGTGGGAATGGTTATCAACTATCTTGATTTACTCATTTGCCAAGACCCTAGATTTAGAGGCCTGAAGTCTCAGCTCAAACACTTAGTAATTAACACAGACAATTTATAAATTCTTCCTTTAATTCTTATGATTTTGGACTTTGCACAAATAACTGTCTTAATAAAATATTACCAATGTAGAAAAATCATAATCTAATTTGTAATTATTGGAAAAAGTTTTGCAGCAGTCAGCAAAAGAAAGACTTCCTATAGTCTAGTCTTAGAAATTAGACTATATGACTTGAATATATAAATTTAAAAACATACTAGAGACCAGCAGATGGCATAATGGTTACGTTGCTGGACTTTTATATGGTTGATTGTAGTTTGAGTCTCAGACTCAAAGGCTTGAAACTCACGCCAGGCATGTGTGCATGCATGTCCAAGATCCCAAGAGAAGAATGGAGAAGAAGGGATTGCGTGGGGGCCATCCCCCCCCCGGGGGGATGGGGGGGGGTGATTTCTCACTTTCTGTCTCTCTGTTTCTCTCTATCTCTCTGCTGAGCACATGTGCCCTATAGCAAAAGTATCTCTCTAAAATAAATAAATAAAAACATACTAACATACAACTTGATATATAGTCATTTCAGAAATGACTTTGTTGGTAATGTTTTTATGACAAGATAACCATAGGAAATGTTGTCCCCTTGTGAATCAATATTGAAGGTAAGAAATGTTCAGCATTAAAAATTATTATGGACACTGGAGATAAAGTGGAAGGAGAGTGTGAGGTGGGAAGGGTGCAGGAAGAGAAATTCGGGAAAATATGGAGAAGTAAGACACCTGTGCTACACAGATATGGTTTGTTGCCTATTGATGATGATGCATATAGTAGTATATCAACTCGTCTGCTGTGTGGCGTATACCATGTTGGGTAAAATGTCTTTACAAACTAAATGATGTCTAATGACTGAATGTATATACAGACAATAAATAATACTAATAAAAAATAATTACTGTCAAGAAAATATCATCAATGAGGGACCAGCAGTTAGTGTAATGGCTATGTCGCTGGACTCCCATGTAGTCAACTGCAGTTCAAGTCCTGGACCCAGTTGCTTAAACTCATGCAGGGTGTGTGTGCGTGTGTGCCCAAGATCCTGAGAGGGGAATGGAGGAGAAGGGATTGAGGTGTGGCCATCCCCCCAGGGGGTGATTTCTTGCTCTCTGTCTCTCTGTCTCTCTCTGTCTTTCTGGTGAGCACACACGCCCTATAGCAAAAACCTCTCAAAAAAAAAAAAAAAAAAGACAAGAAAATATCATCAATGAATTAACTGTATGTGCCTTCCCTCTCTCTGGTTATTTTAAATGAACAAAATTGGATTTAAAAGAACTAGGGCAATCAGGTAAAAATAACCCCAAGTGAAAAAGCTCAAGATAGGGACCAGCAGATGGTATAATGGTTACATTGCTGGACTCCCATGTAGTCAAACATGGTTAGAGCCCTAGACCTGGAGGCTTAAAATTCACACTGGGAACATGTGCGTGCATGCCTAAAATTCTGAGAGGAGACTAGAGCAGAAGAGATTGTGGTATGGCCATCCCCACTGGGGGATGATTTCTCTCTTTTTGTCTCTCAAAAAAAGAAAAACAAACAAACAAAACAAAAAAACCCTCAAGATATAAAACTGAGAAAACATTTTTATAATTGAGAAAATAAATATTCATGGGAGATTCAATATAATATTCTTGAAATATGATACAGTATTTGCTTCGAAAGATAAACAGCCTGTATATTGGGGTGTCAGAAAAGTCAGGACACATTTTTGCATAGAAAAACATAAAAAAAGTCACGACCTTTCTGATGACCCAATAAACTATAAAATTATTACAGACCCTCTACCCTACGCTTAAAGAGCAAAGACAACAAATGCCACTAAATAGCTTCCTGAACATATTAGATAACGTATTAATTAGATGCTTTTTCTTACTATTTGATCAATATTCATATTCATTGCATACTTACAACATATTCTCTTTTGATAGAGTACGATTGCTTTAGACAAGTCCAAACAGGTTCTCTGAATTGAGTGAAACAACTGTAATAAAAATATAAGCAAGATATCAAATAAACCAGACAGCAGTGAAACAAAAAATATTTCATGGAAGACAACCACGATGTGTGATTTGTCCACCAAAAACAAGGTCACATGTCTAAGTGTGGTTGGTTGGTGTTTTGAGATGTACCATACAGAGAGGGGGACTAAACCCTTTAAATATGCTCCTATTGTTCTATAGTTAATAGAATTCATCATCTCTATGATCTAAACTAAGATCTGCAGAACAATTATTTCCTCTGGACTATTGAAATCATAGCTGAAAAACAGGAATCTTATGTGAAAGGCTCAATTAGAAGACTTAGTAGACCAGAGACCCAATATTCATTCATAATCTAATTTATCCCTTTTACCACTTTCTGGGTTTTTTAAATGTCAATTAAGCATCATATTTAAACGATGACATTAACCTATTTTGTGACCCTAATGTATTTTAAATCATGCTTAAACAACTGAATAAAGCAAACAAAAATCAATCAACTGAATGTTCTGGCTGTTCAGAAGACATCTGGTAAAACGATGGTCAGCAGCAGTCCCCATCACTTCTTATTCTCCCCCAACCACATAACATATATTACAAGACAACCTAATGCCACGCTATAGCCACACTAGGTGAAATTGGGGGAAAGTCAGGTGAGGCTGTACTTAGAAGAATCTAAAGACGTTAACTCATGGCGGTCCTGGTCTTTGTTTTAGAAACCGAGACAGCTCAAGAAAAGATAGAACAGACTTCACACTTTCTCTGCTCTCTACTGAGTCAGAGACAGGGCTATTATACATCAGGAAACCTGGCAGATAAACATTTATCTTTGTGGGCCCACTGAATGAGGTAAGGCATGTTTTCCTTCCGTCTCTCCTAGTTTACTGGCCACTGTGACATAGAAATCATATTCTGGTGTCATAAAACACTTTGATATTTGAGTGAAAACAGATGATCTGCTTCATTATAAATATGACCAAGTAATCTAATAAACACAGATGGAGGTGGGGCCAGGTGGTGGCACAGTGGTATTGCAGTTGAATCTCATTGGAGGAGTATTGGATGTTCATCCCGGGACCTTTCTAAACATGATGGGCATGTACATGCCCGTAATCCAGTCCAGCTGAGGGAGTGAATCATGGTGTGAAGACCTTGTTGGGGGAAGCCGTCTGTTTTTCTCTCTCTATTTCTGCCTCTCATAGAGGAAATAAATAATAAACTTAAAATGAGACAGATGCAAGCATATATACTTAAAAGATTAAAAATCACTCCTAGGAATGTTTAGTATGACAAAACTTGGTTATGAAGCCTATAAACGAAGTGTGTATACACACACACACACACACACACACACTATTCTTGGTCACAAAAATATTTATGTAATAAATAAAGATACTTTATGGGAAAATTGAATTTAGAGTATGAGTTGATTTTGGTGCAAAAAAATTAAAATTCATGCAGTGTTTTTCATAATATGCACTTTCCATGAACTTTTTAACAATCCAGCGTGCTAATTCTCATTTCACTAAATTGCATACTTCACCTGTTTAGAAAAGGGGAAAAAATTCTTTATCATAAAACAAAACAGAAAATGAGTAGTTTGAATTTGTTCCTTAGCAATTGCTTGGTATCAGTATTCTGGGCCACAACCCCCGAACACATTGTAGTTCTTGAATATGAGAACAGAGGGCTCAGAAGTATAGTCAGGAGTTGTTCAATTGTTACTATTCTGTTTTTAAAATTGAGGCATAAATTAAATATGATAAAATGCACACTTTGTGAGAGTTCAGTTCTGTGTATTTTGACAATTGTATACATTCATGTAACCACATCCAAAGCAAGATAAACATTTCCACCATCAAACTGGAACTTGACCTCATGGTGGAGGAAAGGCATGAGAGTATGCTCCATGAGAGGAGCATACTCAGAGTAAAATAAAACAAGGTTGGGGCCAGCAGGTGGGATAGTGGTTAAGGTGCTGGAACCCACATGGCCTAACCTGCAGTTGGAGTTCCAGACTTGCCATAGCAGCTATGAACACTTATCATAGGTGAGTTTTATCTCTCCTTGTACTAAGAGCTGTCTACAAAAAATGATTTTTACTAACAAGCAATATGAACAAGTGTTATACTTAGCACAACATTTCCATATTAACTTCCCAATGAAAGCAAAGGAATCTGACCATTATTATAGCTTGGAACGTTAATTTTTGTGCCAGCAGAATAAAGGTTCTTGGCTTATAAGTTAGCCTTCTATGGATAACCAAGGATAGAGACATACCAAATGTTTTATGCATTTTTAAATTTTATTTTATTTCATTTTTTTGCTATAGGGTGCATGAGCTCGTCAGAGAAAGAGAGCAAGAAATCACCCCCAGGGGGGATGGTCATGCTTCAATTCTTTCTCCTCCATTCTCCTCTCGGGATCTTGGGCACGTATGCATGTGTACCCAGCGTGAATTTTAAGCCACTGGGTCCGGGCCCCGAACTGCAGTCAACTACATGGGAGTCCAGCAACATAGCCATTACGCTAACTGCTGGTCTTGCATTGTTTTATTGATAGAACCCATTCTTTCTAAAAACATCAACATTGGTATGAATATTTCTGCAACAGAAACCTCTGTTGTGTGGAAAATCATCAGTTACAGCTAAGCACTTGGGATGCTATGCACCTAAGATAGCAGCTATTTTGATTCAAGTCCAGGTGGATTCAGTGAAAGTACTCTTGCAAGATATACCAGTAATTAACATATTGTGGAATGAATTGCCTTTTTTTTTTTTGGAGAGGTTTTTGCCATAGGGCATGTGTGCTTGCCAGAGAGACACAGAGATAGAAAGCGACAAATCACCCCCAGGGGGGATGGTCACGCCGCAATCCCTTCTCCTCCATTCTCTTCTCGGAATCTTGGGCACGCAAGCACATGCACCCGGCGTGAGTTTTAAGCCACCGGGTCTGGGACGTGAACCGCAGTCGACTACGTGGGAGGCAAGCGCCATAGCCATTACGCTAACTGCTGGTTCCTGAATGAATTGCTTTTTGAATAATACTTGTATTTACTACATTGTTAAGAAGAAAAAATGCAGGGCCAGGTGGTGGTGCAGTAGTAATGCAACCGGACCCACATGGGAAAGGTTTTAGGTTTGCATCCCAGGACCTCCGTGAGCATGCAGGGTGCATGTGTGCCTATAATCAGGCTCACTGAGACTGGAGGTGGATTGCAGCCTGGGTACACTGTTAGGAGGACCTTTTTCTCTGTCTCTCTCATGGAATACATAAATAAATTTTAAAAGAAAAAGAAAAAAATGCTGTAAGACATGAAAAACATACGTAATTTACAATAGTTTGAACTGTATTTAGAATACAAAATCAGAATAGATTTTTTTCTGATTCTACTTTTCTCCATTACAGAAATTTCTGTTAGAATATCCTTGTCAAACCGAGTTTCTTTATCAAAATGTCCTACAGAAGGAAATAAGGGCTGAGAATAAGCTCTACTTGTACTAACATTTACAATTATTGTTAATATTTGTTGAATGTGTGCTGGGTACCTGGCTGGAGGTACAGTGATGAATAAGGCTAACATGGAATTTGACCTCATGGTGGAGGAAAGGCAAGCAAACAAATGAATACCTGAGATTATTCCATGAGAGGAGCATACTTAGAGTAAAATAAAAAAGGTTGGGGCCAGCAGATGGCACAGTGGTTAAGGTGCTAGATCCCACATGGCCTAATCTGCAGTTGGAGTCCCATACTCAGCCTGATAAATACACTATGTGCATGTAAATCCATGCCCCAAATTTCTAAGTGAACAGAAGAGAAGGAATTGCAGCATGGCCATTCCCCCAGGAGTGATTTCTCACTTTCCTTCTCTCTGTTTCTCTCCAGTGAGTGCATGCACCCTATGGCAAACAAACAAACAAACACACAAAACCAACACCAAAAAGCAAGGTCATGTATTAAATAATGACCATGTGGGTGGGCAGTGGGGATGATAGGTGGTTACCTTAATTAGTGTATTCAGTGGAGGATTTTCAAGGTAACCTTTAGGCTGAGACCTAAAGTGAGAAGGAGCCAGCCCTTCTGCTGGGAGTATCCAGAAAGAACACAAGAAAGACTTGCAAGGGCATGAACTTGCCTGGTTGTGGACTGAGGACTTAGGAAAGTTTGTTATAGCTGGAAGGTGGTGAGGGTAGTATCAGTGTTGTGAGAGAGAGGAAACCTAGGACAGGGAGGCCTGGGCCAGGCATGTGAGGAGCTTTGCTAGATACTGAAGAGAATGAACAGAGAGCGTGCTGAATGGTCTTCAGGACATGGTAAGTACTCCGTAAACATTAGACACCACTTTGATGATTACCTAATTTAATCCTCATAATAGCTGTAATAAGAAAGTACTCATATCTTCACTGCATATATTAAGAAAACGAGGATAAGAGAAATTAAGAAGTTCTTTCAAAGTTATAACGCCTAGCAGATGGACTAGTAGCTCAGCTCCATCTCATAGAAAACTGAGTCTCAAAGTCAGCCTCTCTCTCATTGGGCAGCATAAACATTAGAAAGTTATTCTTAGATTGGTTCTATCCTCAGATGAACAGAATGAATCAGAACCCCCTTTCTCAAGATAGACTTATATAACTGACAACTAACTAACATGTCTTCCGTTAACCTCTCTGTTCCAAGATAATCGTGGTTTTGGGAACCAGCAGTTAGCGTAATGGCTGCAGTTCACGTTCCGGACCCGGTGGCTTAAAACTCATGCCGGGTGCGTGTGCGTGTGTGCCCAAGATCCCAGGAGGAGAATGGGGGAGAAAGGATTGCGGCGTGACCATCCCCCCAGGGGGTGATTTCTCGCTTTCTGTCTCTATGTCTCTCTCTGTCTGTCCAGTGAGTGCACGCGCCCTATAGCAAAAACCTCTCAAAGAAAAAAAAAAAAGGATAATCGTGGTTTTGACCATCCTAGTTACTCTTGGAAAGTTTTATGAAACCTTAAACTTTTTGCTTTAGCCCACTAAATGTTTAACTTATTGTTGCCTTTAACTTACATTAAATTTAGAGATAATTTTGATTTTGTTTTAAAGAGAGATTTTTGCTGTCGGGCACATGTGCTTACTGGAGAAACAGAGACAGAGAGGCAGAGGGTAAGAAATCACTCTTGGGGAAGGTGGGGGGAATGGCCATGCCACAATCCCTTCTCCATTCTCCTCTTGAAATCTTGAGCACGTACGCACATGTGCTCAGAGGGAGTTTTAAGCCGTCACGTCCAGGACTCGAACTGTGGCCAACTATGTAAGAGTCCAGTGACGTAATCATTATACTATCTACTGGTCCCTAATTTTGAAATTTTATTAGGCCTTCTAACATATTTCTCTTAGTGTCCTGTCATTCAGAGAAGTAAAAAGTATGCTTTCAAAATTTTAATCTAAACTGTAGGCAGAAATGTCCAGCATGACAGGGAGTCTCCAGCCTTCTACCCATTATACAAATACCCTAGAGCAATCAGATACTGATTCTGTTTACTGTATCATTAAATAATCTAACTAAAATAACTGCTTGGCTAATTAATTCTAGAATTTTCCAGAGTTTAATGCCAACCTTATTAGATTCTATTTTCTGGGATATTTTACTGAAATATCTTTTTTTTTTTTTTTTTTAAAAAGTAAATATTTATGTGATAATTGTCTTCTAAAACCTCTCGAAACCTTTCTAATTCTGATTTCACAAATATCGCTAGCAGACAGCTCTTAGACTATGTTAATTTTTTCAATAAATATTTATTGAGAATTCACATGTCATGCATTCCAACTACATGTCTGAAAAACAAATTAGCTGAGAGCAGGCTGGAGGTTACAGGAAAATTTGGAGGTCTTAAAAATTATGCTGGGGTAGGGAACCAGCAGTTAGCGTAATGGCTATGTCGCTGGACTCCCACGTAGTCGACCGCGGTTCGTGTCCTGGACCCGGTGGCTTAAAACTCACGCCGGGCGTGTGTGCATGCGTGCCCAAGATCCCGAGAGGAGAATGGAGGAGAAGGGATTGCGGCGTGACCATCCCCCCTGGGGGGTGATTTCTCGCTTTCTGTCTCTATGTCTCTCTCTGTCTGTCTGGCGAGCGCACGCGCCCTACAGTGAAAATCTCTCCAAAAAAAAAAACAAAACAAAAAAAATTATGCTGGGGTTGAAGTGATCTAATACTAGATTCTACACATTTTAAAATATAAAGCACACCCACACCTGCCCGTGTGAGTACACATTCGGATCTTGACCTGAGTAAAATTGCTGCATTGGGGACTGAAAGCATCAGAGCTCACCTCTAGCTTGGCATCCAGGTCTGCGTCGGAGGCAACAACATGTTCATCTTCCTTTTTTCCCGTGGCTTTAATAAAGGCCTGCTTCGTTTCCCAATACTTCTGTTGCATCTTATTTACAACGGACTTATCTTGAGCATATCGATCCTGTAAGTCCCAGGGATAACTGCTGAAAACATTAAAAATACTATTTATTCATGACCTTTATAAAGACTTAAGATATTTTAGTATGAAAGACTCTAAACATCACTTCTCATTATACGTTGACATTGACAACATTAACAAACATAGTTGTACTTGTTTATGTGGTTATGATCAAGAAAATTGTTGGGACCCGCAGTTAGCGTAATGGCTGTGTTGCTGGACTCCCACGTAGTCGACTGTCCCGGACCTGCTGGCTTAAAACTCATGCTGGGTGCGTGTGCGTGCATGCCCAAGATCCTGAGAGGAGAATGGAGGAGGGATTGCGGTGTGGCCATCCCCCCTGGGGAGTGATTTCTCACTTTCTGTCTCTCTGCTTTGCTTTGTCTGTCTGGCGCGCGCACGCGTCCTATAGCAAAAAAAAACTCTCCAAAAAAAAAAAAAAAAAGAAAGAAAATTGTCAACTCTTCCTAACTAAAACCTTAAGTTAGAGTGAGAACATCTAGAATCTTTTGCAGGAAATTGAGAAACTAAACCTGGAAAAAATTTTAGATAATCAATAGGTTGGACACACTCCTTTTAGAGGTGGAGAAAACGAGGCTAGGCCAGGCAGGGTGACTGGCTCCAGGCAGCCGAGGGAGTCAGAGATAAGGCCAGACACCACACACTCTTGCCACTCGACCAGTACAGCCAACACTGAAGTGATGGCAGGAAAATAGAGATAAGACGTAGAAAAATAGCAGGCTTAAGATTTGTTGAAGAGGAATGTAAAACAGACTCATAAACTAGCAAACAGAATGGTGGTCACTAGGGGCTGGAAGTGGGGGGGAAGATGGGAGACGGGTAATCGTTCATTAATGGGCGTGAATTTTCAGTTCTGCAAGATGAATAAGTTGTACAGATCTGCAGCACACACTGTGCCTTTAGTTAACAACATGGCATTGTGCATTTCAGTGAAAAATTTGTTAAGTGGGTACAGCTCATGTTAAGCGTTCCTTTCGCAATGAAAGAAAATAAAATAGACATTTTAAATCTGTTAGATTTCTGGTGTTAAAACTTTTTTTTCAACACAAACATTTAAAATAGGAAGTCAGCCTTGAGGAAGATTAGAATGAAGAGCAAATCAGCAAATTAAAAAGTAGGTAAAGAAGAAATGATAAATAAAATTGAGAATGAAATGGAATTCTGTAAAATTGACCAGGGTACCCCAAATACTGATAGAAAATTTGCTGTCAGTGCTCCATTCTCCCTTCCCTGCCCCCTGCTTCATCTACATCCTTCTCTAAAGGACTTCCTCCAAAGATCCACACAGGACCCCAGGCAACACCCCTCTTGAGATATATACCTTTCTCCACCCTATCTCAACATACTTAAAATGTGCCAGACTTTTGTCCTAAAACATGAGTTGCTTTGTACTACTACATCAAAATACCAGTATCTAAAAACATGACAATTTATGCTCTCCTTTAGTTATAGGTTTATTAAATTGACAATTTTCAACCCACACACTTATTCTTAAAAAGTAATTCAGATGGCCTTATTTTATTTTATTTTTTTAGAAAGATTTTCCTATAGGGTGCGTGCACTTGCTGGAGAGACAGAGAGACAGAAAGCGAGAAATCACCCCTCAGAGGGGATGCCATGCTGTAATCCCTTCTCTTTCATTCTCCTCTCAGGATTTTGGGCATATGTGCATACATATATGCATACACGCCCGGAGTGAGTTTCAAGCCTCTGGGTCTGGGACTTGAACCATAGTTGGCCGTGTGGGAGTCCAGCAACATAACTGTCACACCATCTGCTGGTCCCCAGATGACTTTCTTTAGATTTTCTCTGGAGAAAAAAAGGATTATGAATAATTTTTATGGTCTATATATTTCTACATTATTTAAAATAAAAAAAAAAACTGTTTTAGGTTTTTGCCTTAGGTCATGTGTGTTTGCCAAAGAGACATTGAGAGGGAAAGTGAGAAATCACCCCCAAAAGGGGATGACCATACCGCAATCTTTTTTCCTCCGTTCTCCTCTTGGGATTTTGGGCATGAATACACACATGCTTACTATGATGTTCAAGGGGCTCGAACCATGATTGGTCACATAGAAGTCCAGTGTTTTAACCACCACACCACTGCTGGCCCCATTTAAAAGTTTTATCATGAGCTCATGTCAGAGAAAATGAAACTATATACAATATCTACATAAAAGATCATTTTTCTATATATGCAAAGTCTTCAATAGTTCATGGAAAATGTGTCATATAATAAAAGCATATGCATGGATTTTAATTTTTTTCACCAGAATGAACTCCTACTTTGATTTCATTTTTCATATAACTTTTGAAGTCTCCTTATAATATGCACATTAAAAGATCAGAAGGATATATTGCCAAAGACTGTGGTTATTTCAGGGGAATGGAATTCTTAAGACTTGGGCATAGATGGACGTCTTTGTATTGCATTTTTTTTAGCCAAAGATTATGGATTAGTGGTGGTTAAGGCGCTGGACACTCCCACATGGCCAACCAGGGTTCGAGTCCTGAATCTGGTGGCTTGCTTTCTCACTTCCTTTCTCTTCATCTACATCCTTCTCTAAAGGACTTCCTCCAAAGATCCACACAGGACCCCAGGCAACACCCCTCTTGAGATATATACCTTTCTCCACCCTATCTCAACATACTTAAAATGTGCCAGACTTTTGTCCTAAAACATGAGTTGCTTTGTACTACTACATCAAAATACCAGTATCTAAAAACATGACAATTTATACTCTCCTTTAGTTATAGGTTTATTAAATTGACAATTTTCAACCCACACACTTATTCTTAAAAAGTAATTCAGATGGCCTTATTTTATTTTATTTTTTTAGAAAGATTTTCCTATAGGGTGCGTGCACTTGCTGGAGAGACAGAGAGACAGAAAGCGAGAAATCACCCCTCAGAGGGGATGCCATGCTGTAATCCCTTCTCTTTCATTCTCCTCTCAGGATTTTGGGCATATGTGCATACATATATGCATACACGCCCGGAGTGAGTTTCAAGCCTCTGGGTCTGGGACTTGAACCATAGTTGGCCGTGTGGGAGTCCAGCAACATAACTGTCACACCATCTGCTGGTCCCCAGATGACTTTCTTTAGATTTTCTCTGGAGAAAAAAAGGATTATGAATAATTTTTATGGTCTATATATTTCTACATTATTTAAAATAAAAAAAAAAACTGTTTTAGGTTTTTGCCTTAGGTCATGTGTGTTTGCCAAAGAGACATTGAGAGGGAAAGTGAGAAATCACCCCCAAAAGGGGATGACCATACCGCAATCTTTTTTCCTCCGTTCTCCTCTTGGGATTTTGGGCATGAATACACACATGCTTACTATGATGTTCAAGGGGCTCGAACCATGATTGGTCACATAGAAGTCCAGTGTTTTAACCACCACACCACTGCTGGCCCCATTTAAAAGTTTTATCATGAGCTCATGTCAGAGAAAATGAAACTATATACAATATCTACATAAAAGATCATTTTTCTATATATGCAAAGTCTTCAATAGTTCATGGAAAATGTGTCATATAATAAAAGCATATGCATGGATTTTAATTTTTTTCACCAGAATGAACTCCTACTTTGATTTCATTTTTCATATAACTTTTGAAGTCTCCTTATAATATGCACATTAAAAGATCAGAAGGATATATTGCCAAAGACTGTGGTTATTTCAGGGGAATGGAATTCTTAAGACTTGGGCATAGATGGACGTCTTTGTATTGCATTTTTTTTAGCCAAAGATTATGGATTAGTGGTGGTTAAGGCGCTGGACACTCCCACATGGCCAACCAGGGTTCGAGTCCTGAATCTGGTGGCTTGCTTTCTCACTTCCTTTCTCTCTGACTCTCACCCTCTGTCTCTCTCTGGTCTAATTAAAAAATAAATGAATGAATATATTAAAAAATAAAATAAATAATTTTTAAAAAGGAACTTTCGAGATCTAATAAACATTCTGTCACTACCCATCGTTTAGTAAATGAAGACTCTTAGGTTTTAAAGGTTAAGAATCTTGTTCCATCATACAGGATTAAAATCCAGGCCTCTAAATCCCAGTCTACTTCTCGTTTCAATGTATTCTGCAAACTGTGTGTTTCAGTCCAGAGCTATGAAGTGGAGCAAGTGGGAGAAGGAGTTGGAAAAGGGTCCCTTTCCGAGGACTTTTCGGTCTCTTTTTGGTGAGTTAACTATCTCCCTGAGCCTGCTGTCAGGATGTGACAGTCATGAGGGTCACAAGACCCAGTCAGCCCACTGTTAAGAGGCAAGATTAAAATAATGAGGAACAATTAAAAATAAAGGTCTGACACTTGTAAAAGAACTGTCAAATGGGGATACTCAGGGAAATTAAATCCCTTTGCCATTTATTAATTACTTTTTAAAACTCATTACATTTTAAGACATGCACGAATTCTTTTGAAGTTTGACATTTGATATAACAGAGGACTTAGGCTTGATTGCCTCTCTACTGAGAGGGGAGGAATTAGAACGTGTATTCCTTATTATAATTAATTGTACATTTGAAAAATAAAAATATGCAATGCATTTTTTTTCATGATACAAATTAAGATAAAACTTGACAAAGATCTGCTTTCTTGGGTCACTGGTTCTAAAAGATTCAGAAACGTTCCTTGAAGAGCACTGGACCTCATACTGCTTAGGTGCCTTTAAGGCACATAAATGACAGAGCTAACGTTGCCATGTGATGACCACATCTATTTTACTCAGCATCATATACTTCTAACCATAACTGGCTCCTCGGTGTTCATAAAGTTTGAAGTCATGACTATCCATTAGTAAGTCGTAGAATCATCATTCCTTATTCTATAGCTGCCTTATATAAAATTCCCTTATAACTCTAATGTTAGAAGTTATAAATAAGAAAAATGATTAAAAAAATGCATCAACTCATTACATTAAAAAATAATTGTGGTGGGGCTGCCAGGTGGGATGGTGGATAAGGTGCTAGACTTTCATATGGTCAACCACAGTTTGAGTCCTGGAGCTGGTGGCTTGAAACTCACCAGGCATGTATGAGTGCATGCCCAAAATCCTAAGAAGAGAATGGAAGAGAAGGGAGTGTAGTATGGCCATCCTCCTTGGGGGGTGATTTCTTGCTTTCTGTCCTCTTATCTCTCCTGTGTCTCTGGAAAGCACACGGACCCTAGAGCAAAAAAATCTCTCTTAAAAATAAAAAGAAATAATGGTGGTAATTAACCATCATTAATTTCTTAAGAAAAAAATTATACATAAATAAATTTCCTAGGGAATATATATTCAAGAAAAATTTACAATACTGTTTGTTACTTGTTTTTTAATATCAGATTTAGTATGGATATTGACTTTGGCTATACTCAGTATTGGAGACAAGCTAACAGGTTATTTACTCTAAATGTGTGTCTCAATTTTTCCATTTTACTTCATGTCTTCCACTTTCATTTGCCTCTTCCAATTTAGCAAAGATGACAAATTACTTACCATTTATGTCCTGACATGTTTTCTTCTTCTTTTTCTATTGTTGATGATTTGGGGAGAAGGGGCAGAGAAAAAGCATGAAAGGATAAGTTATATTATAACCTGAAATAAAACAAACGTTTAACAATTACACACTGTATTATAGTTATACATTAGCCCAACACACATAAAATTTTTCAATCTAAGTTATTTGTGCATTAGAAGATTAAACTCTACTAGATGGTAATACTGAACACTGGTGTAGAGAAAAATTACGCAAGTAGCAGTGAAAGAAATACCTCAAATGAAACTTGAGAAGAAAACAGGCAGTTTGAATAAAAAAAAAAAAGTTGTAGAAGACTATATAAAATATGATACCATTCATATTAAGTTTAAAAACATGAAAAACAGGGCCAGCCAGATAGGGTAGTGGTGAAGGCAGCTGGATTCCCCAAGGTTGACCGTGAGGCTCATGCCCCAAACCCCGTGGCTTGAAAACCACACTTGGAGCATGTGCATGCTTGCCCAAAATTCCAGAGAAAAGTTTGGGAGAGGGGATTGTGGTGTGGTCACCCCTCCTGCGGGGATTCTTTCTCATTTTCTCTCTCTCTTGCCTCTCTCTAGAAAATGTGTGCACCCTATAGCCAACAAATGAACAAAAAACAGGAAAAACAATACTACATATTATTGAGGTATGCATATACTATCTAATGGAAGAATAATGAATGTCTTAGCAATGATAAATATGTAATTCCAGATAACAGATCACTGCAGGGAAGGGAAGGGGATGCGTCTGGAGAAAGATATGCAGTGCTTCAACTGTACACATTGTAATGTTCTCTTGGTTAAGCTAAGTGGTGAGCATATTGCATCTGCATGCCTCTTCATGGACCTGAAATATTTCACAATCAATATTTTAAAGAAATGAACTAGTACTTTGCAAAAATAAAACAAAATGAAATTTAAAATCGCGAAAGAATTGATAAATTAGAATGGGATACTAAGGTGGCTACAAAAGAGAAAACTACATTATGTGAAATACAGCCTTGCATTGTATTTTCATCTCATTAGTAAATATGGGAGTGACTTAATACCCTCACTCCATTTGCTCCACTCGTGGAAGCAAGCTGCCCGCAATGGCAGAGCTAAGCAGCCCAGCCACCACGCTAGCCCACACTGGCCTAGCAGGGACTGGAACAAATGGAGAACCCACTACCTGAATGGCTAGCCTCTGGCCAGACACAGAACTACTGACTACCAAAGTAAATGCTCAGCATATGGAAACGAGCAAAATCACAAAATCATTCTAATCCTTCTCCCTGTCTCAGAAAGAGTCCTGGCAACCAGTACCCGCAAAATAATTAGGGATTCCTAGGCTTTTGCAAAAAAAATTTTTTAAGAGAGTTTTTATTTTTGTTTTTTTGGCTATAGGGCATGTGAACTCCCTGAAGAGACTGGAGAGAGACAGAGAGACAGAAAGCGAGAAATCACCCCCTGGAGGAGATGACCACACTGTAATCCCTTCTTTTCCATTCTCTTCTTGCAAACTATGGGAACGCATGCACACATGCCCAGCATGGGAGTTTTAAGCCATCGAGTCTGGGACTCGAACCGTGGTCAACTACATGGGAATTCAGCAATGTAACCGTTACATCTGCTGGTCCCTGCAAAATTTCTTAGAATTAAATTAAGAAGTTGAAATGCCAGGCTTCAGGTATGGGGAAAAGAGAAGGAGGAAAGGAATTTTCAGAGTGCCCAGTGCTTCTGAAATGACATCATCCTGGAATCAGCCTTTTGTTGTTTAGTACTTTTATTAAGTCTAATAAATAAGAAATAAATGGGAACATGGAACAATGTGGCATTAATCACTATTTAAAAATTTAAATTCTTTTTAAGGTGGCAACAGAACAGTTTCATTTGAAGCTTAATATATAACCGCTGTCATTTACACATTTGGGGTAAAAATCTTTTAAGAGGTAACCTTAATTCATTGCTTTTCCCCCTTTCTTTCTCCTTTTTCATTTCCTTAACTCTATGCCAATATAATTTTTTCTTATAATTAAAAAAAGTACATTTAATCACATATATCTTTACAGTGTATAACATTTCTTTTTCCAGCACAATTATGATGCAGATAAGTCAAGACAAAGACATTACTATGCACATCATCATTAGTAAATAGCTTTTCAGTAAATTGCTTTTTTTTTTAGATTATTATATTTTTATTCCCATCTTTTTTTTTTTTTTTTTTTTGAAACATTCAGTCGCTATACATCATTTGTGGAATCAGCCTTTTTCTTCCTGTGAAGGACATCCAGATACGTGGGAAAGTTGCTTTGGGAACGGCATTCAGGATGAGTAAGCTTTGCCTTCCCTCAGGGCAACCATGGAGAAACTACAAACTCCCGGTCCTCTCTCAGAACCCACACAGCTTCACTGCAAGTACTCATTGATTTTATTTAGCTCAAAATTTCCAAGAGAGATTGGCCCTGTCGCCTAATGGTTAAGGAGGCTGTATATCAATGGCTGACGTGGTTCAAATCCCAGCCCCAGTGTCTTGAGAAACATGATATGCATGTGTGCAAGTGCCCCAAATCCTAACTTGGATGGAGAAACAGAAGAGACAGATTTACTGCATGCTCACACCCCACTGATGGTTGCTTTCTGCATCTTCCTCTCTCTCTGTCTCTCTCTGGAGAGTGCACATGTGTACTGGCAATCAAAGATTTTTTTTCCAATAAAAAAGAATTTGTTCAAAGGAAGTAAAATTATTATATTCTTGCAATGAGTTCAATTTCAGCATGAACCATTAGGTACTTTTGATTAATTTTTTTCTATTGTAGTAAAAACATAAGTTTACTCACAATAATTTTTAGGGGCAGAGTACAGTAATGTTAACTAAATGTGTGTACATTGTTGTACATCAGATCTCTAGAACTTTTTCATCTTGCATAACTAGAACTCTGTACCCATTGGACAACACCCCCTTTTCCCCTCCCTCCTGTCAACCACTGTTCTACTTTTTGATTTTATGAATTTGATTACTTTAGATATCTCATAGAGGAATGATTCAGTATTTGTGTGTTTTGTAATTTTCTTATTTCACTTAGCATAATGTCCTCAAAGTTCACATATATTGCAGCATATGACAGAGTTTCCTTCTTTCGTAAAGCTGAAAAATAGGAGCCAGCAGGTGGCATGGTGGTTAAGATGCTAGACTCCCACATTGTCAAGCATGGTTCGAGTTCCAGACCCAGTAGCTTGAAAATCATGCCAGGTGCACATGTGTGCATGCTCAAAATCCTGAGAGGAGACAGGAGAAGGAAATGCAGCGTGGCCATCCCACGTTGGGTGCTTTTTTATTTTCCCTTTCACTGTATCTCTCTGGTGAGCACACATGTCCTATGGCAAAAACCTAAAAAAAAAAAAAAAAAAAAAAGAAGCTGAAAAAAATATTCTATTGTATTTACATACCACATTTTCTATATCTATTCATGTATCAGTGGGCATTCCGGTTGCTTCCACATCTTGGCTGTTGTGAATAATACTGCTATGGATACAAGTATACAAACACTTCTTTGAGATCTTCTTTGCAATTCTTTTGGTGTAGTTCCAGAAATGCTAGATCATAGGGCAGTTCTATTTTTAATTTTTTGAGAAACCTTTATACTATTTCCCACAGTAGCTGCGTCATGCATCATTTTATAATCTCAACAATGATGTGCAAAGTTTCCAATTTTTCCACATCCTCACCAAGGCTTATTTTCATTTTTTTAAAATATAATGGCCATCCTAACAGGTGTGAGATACCACCCTAATGATTAGTGATGTTGAACATCATATGTTTGTTTGTATATTGCTTTATTTGTATATTTCCTTTAGAGACTTGTCAATTCAAGTCCCAGGCCTAGCAGCTTAAAACTCACGTGTATGTGTATGCCCAAAAATCCTAAGAAGAGAATGGAGAAGAAGAGATTGCAGTGTGGCCACCCCTTAGGAGATTATTTATAACTTTCTGTCCCTCTGTCTTTATGGCAATGTTCTGCAAGGTATTTTTTAATAGGCTATTTGCTTTGGGATCTTCTGGGTATTAATACACTTATTCCTAGGCCCTGTCCCTTAACCTACTGAACTAGAACCTCTGAGAACTGGTCTAGGAATCTCCTTTTTATAAGAGGCTTTGCAAGTAATTCTTAAGCATGTTAAAGTCTGAGAGTCACAGTTAAATAGCATACAGAAAAAAAAATCCTTTTCATAAATGGATCTCTTTTGAACAAATGATTGGATTATGTGGCACTAGAGCACAGGAATTATGGATAAACAAAATCAAGACAAGTCTAGAGGACATATCTGTATGTCTCATGAGAAGGCAGCCAATGTTTGCATATTATCTTTTTATATGTTCTAATTTCATACATCAGAGACAATAAATATTATAAGATTTCCTGGGACCAGCAGTTAGTGTAATGGCTATGTCTCTGGACTCCCATGTGGTCGACTGTGGTTTGAGTCCCGGATCCGGTGGCTTAAACTCACGCCGGGCACGTGTGTGTGCGTGCCCAAGATCCCGAGAGAAGGATGGAGGAGAAGAGATTGCGGCGTGGCCATCCCCCACGGGGGGTGATTTCTCGCTTTCTATCTCTCTGTCTCTGTCTGTCTGGCGAGGTCAAGTGTCCTATAGCAAAAACAAACAAACAAACAAACAAACCTCTCAAAAAAAAAATTATAAGATTTCCTGACTTAATTCATCTCACCTTGCTCTATTACCTCTTTTTTTTTTTTTTTTCTTATTTTTTTCCATGCGGTGTGTGCTTACTAGAGAGAGACTGAGAGAGGGAAAGTGAGAAATCACACTTCGGGGACAAGGCCATACCTCCTTTTCCATTCTCTTTGGGATTTGGGGCATGAATGCACAAGGACCCAATGTGAGTTTCAAGCCTTTGGGTTCAGGACTCAAACTGTGGTTGGCCATGTGGGAATTCAGCACCTTAACTGCTACACCACCCGCTGGCCCTTTACTTGGAGTTTATTAAGCCACGGAGTTTGGGACTCTACAGTGCAGTCATCCATGTGGAATCCAACCACGTGCTGGCCCGTTCTGTTACATTCTAAATTCATAGGGT